AAGAAATTTATTATTATTATTATTATTATTATTATTATTATTATTATTATTATTATTATTACTGCTACTACTACTATTACTATTGGTGGTGGTGGTGGTTTTTACTTCTTAAAAATGTATCCAATTTCCCCTGCCCCAAAAATATTGAGATGTTTATGCTCTCTGGAGATTCAACTTTCTTTTCAGGAAGATGAAAATCCAAGCACTGTAGTAACGGTGGCCAATCCACCAATCTTGGATTACAAATGCTGCATCTGCAACCCAGATCATGTCACAGCTTGGACCAACAACTTCTTGCTAGTACAGTAGATGGAGGTGGTCAGAATTCCTGACTGTGCTCCAAAGGCAGGTCTTGGTGTATCACCTGCAAATCCATGTGCATTTTCAACCCCTGCCCTGTAGTGGGACCCTTGGAAGTCATCAGTCCTGCCTCAGTAAGCCTTGTCTGGAGCTTCTTTACTTCTCTCTCTCTAGGGTATGTTGAATGTATTTGTTGCTATGTTTGTTGGATACTGTCACCTATAGATTGGTGTTACGATCTGGGAGTGTGTAATCATAATATTATTTTTTATTCAACCTTCATAACCCTCATTTCTAGTGCAGCATCTCTTGTTAGATCTTTATAGTCAGGTTTCAACACTGGATTTTCTCGTGTTCCCTTCTTTAGGGATTTTACTAACTTGGTCCCTAGTTACAATTTGTGAGTTACTGTTTAATTTAAGGAATTTGTACATCTTGTTCAGGATAGAGGATATTGTAACATCCCCACTGGTGGGCAATGGCAGGAAGAACATTGTTGGATAGAAGCGGTAAACCTTTGGAATTTGAACAAAGCTTTTATGTAGCTGTAATACTGCCAATGAAGGGTTAAGAACAAGAAAACATGCCAAAGCAAAGTCAGAGATACAAGCCCACATAATCCATTCAGATTGCAGACAGAGTAACTCCAGCCATGCCTAGAAGGTAACTGGGCAAAGTATGTTTTTTTCCATTAGCTCAGCTCGCACAATTACACTGGTACAGAATTACATATTTCTGCACAGTTCTGGCCACAGAAGCTATTTCTTCATGCTCAGACCTGTTTGCTGGAGGTGAAACTGAGCTGGGTCATTGGAACTGCAGAGAAATTCATAACGAAAAAAAATCGCATGAGGTTGTACTTTGCAGGGGGTGGATGGCTGGATTAGGCAGTACACTAAGTAGTCCCCCAGGATATTTTTCAACTGCAACGCAAGCTCAGTGATCAAATATGGAACAGATTAACAGGAAGAGGGGTTGTATATTTCTTGTAAGTCACAATCTTCTTTTATTCATGACTATGTGCAGTGCAATTTTTTTGAAGCACTGGTTTTTTATGGTTGATTTTACTGCCATAATACCCATGGCATATCAAGCTGCCAGTATAATCTTCTGATGAATTTATTTGCATCAATACTGTTTAAAATGAGTGCAGTGAGTGCAGTAATTGCAGGGATTAAAAGAAGTTATATTTAAAAGATCTTTATTTCTAACTGTCTGGCTTGTCTGTAAACGCAGCTTTTAAAAAGAGGATCTTAATGTTAGCTCCAGAAATCCATATATAGTTGCTCAATGTGTGGCCTGATTTAATTATATAGCTACTCCCTCTGATTGCACGAGATCAAGAGATGTTCAGATTATTGATTCTGATGAGAACAGCTGCTTTAAAGCTGAGCTTGTACAATCTTTTCTCCTATGTGTTCTGAATATTGAAAAATAAATATTTTTTATCCTTTTCATTAAAACTTTGCTACACATGAAAGCATGACCCTATGCCCCTTACAGTGAGTACTCTCCTCAATGCATTAGTTGTAAAATCAAATTCCTGAATACTGATATCTGTCGGGGAAGTTACCACTTTTGTTTTCATTACTTTGGATGTTTTCAATGATGAAAATAGGACCTTGGTGTCTGAAATGTCTTACTTCCAGCTATATTTGTGCAAGTGCAGTGCTGATCTGAGCAACCTGTGCCTTGCCGCTGCCTAAAGCCAAGTCCAGAAAGCAGATGCAACATCTCTGATCACAGCTCACTGAGGGTATGCTGCAGGGAGAGGCTCTTTGATATTTCACAAGGGCATGTAGTGATAGGGCAGGGGGAAATGGCTTCAAACGGGAAGAGGGCAGGTGCAGATTGGATATTAGGAAGGAATTTCTCACTAGACGAGTTTTACAATCCCTTCTGACCTAAACCATTCTATGATTCTGTGAAAACGCATGATGGCCACAGCCTGTAAAAGAGTGGTGATGGCACTGCACAGATCACCTTTTAGGGATCTTAAATCACTCTTTATACATGTACATTTCAAAATTATATGGATTTGGGTAGAAATTCATTCCTAAAGCCCTTCAGAACAGGCACTGGCTTCCACTTCCATCACTGTGTGTCCCTCTGCCCCAGGTCACTGCTCCTGCTTGAACTGAGGTGGCCAATTCAGAGGAAGCATTACCTGAAGCAATACCCACTGCTCCCCATGACACCTAGGGACAACAGCGTCTGTTTTGCTAAATAGCCTGAATGTGTTTATACTTTCAGAGTGAGAGTTGCCTAAGATTTATTTTAATTGAGTATGACTCAAAAGTGAGTAGCTGTATGACCAAGAATGTTGTGGGGTTAAACTGTTGTAAAGATTGACCAAAATATTTTAAGAGTGCAATGAATATATTAGGAAATGATAAATCTTGCCAGTTCCTGCAAACCATGCTAAAGTGAGACTAAGTAGGGAAGCTTGTGCTTGTCTCCAAATACAAGTATATATTAACTCTATAAATATGGAGAAATAATTTAATTTATAATGTAGACATGTCTTTATTCAGCAGAGCACTTGTAATAAGTTTAAGCCCCTCTGCTGTAGAATAGATTCTTTTTCATGGTGTAACAAATAATTAAAAGTGACAAGCTAAAATCAATGAAAAAAAGGAAAATTATATTTAAGTGCAATGGGGCTAAAAGGTTGTCTATGGCGTGGCAGGCTGCACATTAGCTTCTAAAGCAAGTGAGATATATCTTTTTTCACATGGGATCCAAGCAAGTATTAGGGAGCACAGTGTTGGGAACAGACTACTGTGAGGGGGAGATCTGTGTGTTTGCTAGTTTGTTTCTTCTTCTCTGGTACTTTTTTGCTCCCTTTTCTCAGATCTTTTATGCTTAGATATTGCAGAATATATGTATATTTTAATTTGTTTGCATTCATTACTTGTAGTACTCTAACTGGATTTGTATCTAAAATTCTTGAAATTTTAATATTCCTCAAACACTTGAAATCTGTCAGCTTCTGTGTTCTCTGTGCATTATCAGGTGCTCTGTGATGCCTTTCCAACAGAAGCCCTGTTTCATTCATGACAGGACCTATGCAATAGCTCCTCAAAGCTTTGATTTTATCCTCCTTTTCAATGTTCTCTCTCTTGAAAGACTGATGTTGAAGGAAGGGGCTGTAGGGAACAGGGAGGATGGTTGGGGAGATTTCACAGTGGGGTTTGGGGTTTTTGGAGGGTTGGGCTGAGATTTATTTTAGCACAACAAATTTGCTTTCCCAGTATGCTCTACAGCACACTTGTTGTGGGAGAGATGCAGGCTGTGTGTGCAACTGTGCTGAGGGAGTGGTGTATGACAGAGAGCCATGACAACAATCCTGGACCTGGCTGGGACTGTGAGCACTTTTTAAAATTCCTTTCCTTTGAAATAAACCTGCAGGGTGACCCATGGTCAGTGAGGGCTTCAAAGGCAGCCAGAGAAGATGATCTCCAGAAAGTTCAGCCATTAAGTGTAAGCAAGTTGCACACAGTGCTCAGCATACACATAGATCTCTTAAAGATTTATAACTTGGCAAAATTTGTTTGGAATTTGGTAGCAATGAATGAATGTATTCATTTGACAAAGGCCATTCTTCCCTGGTCCCCAAGATCTGGTCTGTTGCTCCAGGGTATGTAAGCCTGAGATCTGTTTATGGAAAGGACAGATAATTTTGGTTAACATTTGTATAGAAAAGAATACATTCTTTGTTTTAATCTCAAAAATGTTCAGTGTATTTTGCTGCAAACTAAAAATAGATTAAAAACTCCCAACTCTTTTCAGCACAAAAATGTCAGTGCAAATATAAGTTCGTCAGAGCAATAAACAGCAAAAATCAAGATCTTATAAAGGAAAATATGGCTAACCTGAGAGTCACACTGCTATTAACTTTCCCTGTAACCCAATAAATAATCCCTCTGAGGGCCCATCACTTCACCTGCAGTATTCACTGCCATATCCCAAGGCAAAGGTGATAAATTCTGTCTTCACCCCTCCACCTCCAGCTAGCACAATCTTTGGACTTCATGCATGCTGTGTATTGACAGCCGCTATTTTATACCTATTCAAGTAAGAAGCTTTCAAAGTACTTAAAAATCACAGTTAAAATAAACACGATTTTAATAAATTTATTTATTAAAAATTATTTAATAAAATTTAGTAAGTTTAATTTAATAAAAGTAATTCCAAAACACAAAAAAACCATAGGCCTTGCTGTTGTTATCTGAATGCACAGATTTAAAATTATATGCACTCTAGCAAAGGTGGCTTGAGCTTGGATGTGTTTGGAAGTGCTAGCCAGTGGAGGCTGATTCAAGGCATGGGATTGGAAATTGGGATACTCTGCTTTTGGAGTACTCTGTAATTAAATTCCTAAAAGCAGAAAAAGCACTCCAGACAGCAGATCCTGGTGAAGGACTTTGCAAAGTGAAGAAAGTAATCTTATCCGTTACTGAATAGCTCTATTAAATGATGAGAAAAAGCTCAGCACCACCTTGTTATCTGCACTTGACCTCTTCTGAGGCATCTGCGGCACAAAATAAAATAGGAAATAAAAAGGACAGATTAAGCAAGCGCATTAATTCTGCATTTGAAAGCAGAGCTTTAGGACAGGGACACTTTCCAAAGAACCATTTCAGGCAAAGGTCACATGTACGCATATAAAATCATCCCTGAAAGCAGCGCCTTTGTCCCCCAGCTATCCGCCAATGGAGCCATTGTCCTGCCGGGGCAGCTGCACCCTGACTTCAGCCGCACCGGGGCCGGGCAGCCCCGAGCCCGCCCGGACTCCCGGGACATTCCCCGCGACTCCCGGGACATTCCCCGCGACCTCCCGGGACATTCCCCGCGACTCCCGGGACATTGCCCGCGACTCCCGGGACATTCCCCACGACCTCCCGGGACATTCCCCGCGACCTCCCGGGACATTGCCCGCGACTCCCGGGACATTCCCCACGACCTCCCGGGACATTCCCCGCGACTCCCGGGACATTCCCCACGACCTCCCGGGACATTCCCCGCGACTCCCGGGACATTCCCGGCCTGGACTCCCGGGACATTCCCCGCGCATCCGCCCGGCCGCGCCAGCCGCACTTTGCGCACCGAGCTTCGGTCATGGAGAGAAAAGAGCCGCTGGTACGGTAGGAGCATCTGCACTCCCCTTCTGCCCTGCGTGTTTTCCCGGCTTGCCAAAGTAGCCTTAAGTAAATATCATTTACAAGCGAAATCAGCTAATGAAGTGACACGAATGTGGTTTTGCAGAATGCAACTCGGATTGGGATTTGGCAAGTAGGAAGTCCTTCCAAAATGCATTCAGGGATAATGTTGAAAGTCCCCTGATTCATAATAAAAGAGAAAATATTATTTAATGCACAGAGAAGAAAATGTATTTTAGAAACCATAGTAGTTCTTGTATAGCTTGTTTTGCCTCCTGAAGATATCTCCTCTCTTAACCTATTTAATATAAACTGTTTTTCATATATATTCTTACCTTACAGCAATATGAAAATTGGCATCCAGCACAGACATGAGCAAATATCTTGTGTTTTGTTTACATTTACCTCCTACAGTATTAATATTATACAAGTACATAAATACGAGTTTAGAACTCCTACATCACTTGGCTTTTGATTTATATTAAAATTTCCGGTGTCTGGAGCTTCACTAGTAAAGTTCTGGGCTTGAAGGCAATGTGTCTCAATAAAGTTCCTGTCACAGGTACCTCTCCCTAAGCCTTTTTCTCCAGGGGAACTATATGGATTTCTTTAATCAGGGTAGAAATACTTCAAGTATTTGTATTTTTTTCCCATAACTCCTTATGCCACAACTGTAAGGTGCTGATTAGAGAGACAAGTTGGATAAGGAGCAATGAAACACGGCATGCCTCACAGTTCCTCTACTCATAATGGACTCATGATGATTTTGATTATTCTGATTTTGAAGTATTAGTCTTGGGTCCTTCTTTCAAGTTTCTTTTGCTTCTAATTTGCTTAGATTTTGGTTGCTTTTAACTTCTGTTGATCTATGCAAGCTTCCTGTCAGCATGTGTCAGTGCTGTGCACACTGTTACTTATTGCCACCACATCTGTGATGGAAACTCTGAGCTCTGCAAGTGGAATTGGGACGCTGAATTGTCCATGAGAAACAAAACAGGGAAATAGGGCATTTCAAGGATGTCAGTTCTGCCTGAAGTTTACATGAGTGCTCCAGCTCTCCCCACTGGACCTGTGGGGAGGTGGGTGGGGGCTGCCAGAGCAGTGGCTGTGCCTGGTGGATAGGGAGAGATACTGGGGGGTTACCTGTACCTAAAAGAAAGCAAAGGTGAATGTGCCTCTAAGATTGGCTGCCCACAGAAGACCTGCTGTACCTACTCAGGGACAGATAGAGACATTTTTAATAAAGAGCTTCTCATGAACTGCAAGGCTGGAGAAATGTTTCCTCCTAGGAGGCTGACCTGTTTAAGATGTTAAGAAAACAAAATAGTGCTCCATTTGTGTAGTAATATTTATTCTACAGAATCTTAGCTTATTTCAGAGGTTATAATATAAAGGTTAAACTATAAGTTTAATGTCACTACAGCAAGGACATTTCCAATAATTCATCCAAGGTGCCAGCTGAGTTTGCCAGACAGTTAAAGGCATGTTAGCATCATTCTTGAGAGCTGGAGCTGTTCATAGCAGTGCCTGCACTGCAGCCTTTACCAAAGGATGCCAAATGAATCCTTTGACATTAGCTGAACTGGAAGTGGAGGTAATGAATATTTGTGAGAGATTAATGAAGTAGTGCATGAGTGCTCCTGACAGTGCTGCAGCTAGCACTGGCTTGTCCAAATTCCCATGGGCTATTGGAAGTGCTCATTTATGGCACTTCCCCAGATTAATGGATCATTTATGGAAACACATCAAAACCTGATACTGTTGACACACCAGTAACACAAACTGTTTTTCAGGTGCTTACAAATCTGACAGCATCCTTGACTTATGCCACACCTTGCTAGATGAGGGGTTTTGAGCCTCCCAGCACAGGTCTCTCCATGCCACCCACACCAGCCCAGCTGGGATGCACCCTCTCCTGTGCTCATCACTGGGTGAGATGACAACTGTGCTTGTAGGGAGCCAGACCAAATGATCTCACAGACTTTCTTTGTCTCAAAACCCAGGAAACTCTGTGTCCTCCACACAGTTGGAATAAAACAGAACAAGGTCACTGTTGCTTTGGTACACAAAAACCCCGTAAATATAGAAATAAATGCATATTGGCTCTATTACTTTTGGGGAACTATTTTCCTATTGTGTACAGTTGTTTAAATTCCATGAGAAAGATTCATGGTAAATGGTCTTTTGTCCTAGAAATCTTCATGTTTCAAAACACTGAAGTGATGAATTTCATAGAAGTTCTAGCTGAAAGTGCTGCATGTGAAAAAATGGATGAAAAGAGATTACAAATACCAGATAATAGCAGGTATGCTCTGCTCCTGTCCTCTTGCCCTAAGCCAGGCAGAACTTTTCTTCTATTGCAGCTGGATTACATCCATGTCTGGGAGATTGTGTCCTCAGATACCTGCTCCCCTAACACAGTTCCTAGCCAACCATTTTCTTTTCTTTTCTTTGTGGGGCTTCATGCCCTCCTTACGTACAGTTTTTCATGTGAAGTAACTCAGAAGTCTTGTCCAAAAGCTTTCTCCTTTGTTTATCTAACTTCATAGTTTCTTGTAGAGATTTTTACTATGAAGCTGTGTTGGGTTGGCCTCGTCTGGCTGCCAGATGCCCACTCTCATTCCTCAACAAGGCAGGGGTAGAAAATATGGATTGATATAAAGAGAGGGAGATCACTTATCCAATTAGTGTCATGGGCAAAACAGACTCAACTTGGTAAAAATTAATTCAATTGTTGCCATCTAAAATAGATTTAGGTAGTGGGAAGCAAATTTAAAAATTGAAAGAGCACCTTTTTTTCCCCTTTTCCCAGTTCTTCATTCCTGGTTCCTCCACCTCTCCCCAGGATCCCAGGCAGCACTGGGGGATGACCAGTCCATAAGAGTCCCTCTCTGCTGCTCCCTGCTCACACACCTCCCTGCCCTGTGGGGCCTTCCCGTGGGCCAGGGGCATTCAGGACAAACCTGCTTCTCCAAGGTATTTTCTGCTGGCTGCAGCACCTCCTCCCCTCCTTCCTTGGTGACCTTGGTGCCTGTAGAGCTTTTCTCTCACTTTCTCCCTCACTCACCACTGCCTGCACAGCGCTTTTTACCCAGTTCTGCTCTGCTCTACCCGAGGCCTCACGAGGGCTGTGAGTGCCTCAGCCTGTCCTGTGTGGGACGGGCTGTGTCTGCCCCATGGCCGCCGCGGCCTCCCCACACAACGCGCTGCTGCGCCTGTTTCTGATCCTCGCCTCTCTTCTTCTGCTTCCATGCATTTTTTTAGTTAGATTTTAACCTAAAAGCCTTCTAGTTTTGAAGACTTCTCTGGCTTTGCTGTCACTTAGCTCTTCACCAGTTTTATCTTCCTTTTTTTATTTTGAAGAGTTCTTGGAAACCTATATTTATAACCTAATTTTTTCTTTCCATGTCATCTGATATAGAAATCTGCAGAAACACCACTGGTGGGACACGACCAGGGTTGTTCCTGCCATTTTTCTCCTGAAGTCCTCCCTCCTGCAGCAGCTGCAGGAGATGGTTCCCATTCCCCTCACTGAAATGTCACATTTTATTCCCTTCACAGATTTCTGTTCCCTGCTGCTTGTTGTTAATGGCATGTTCAGCTGAGGTCCTGCCTCTCATACCTATGATGCTCAAGCAACTTTGATGTATGGATTGTCCTGAGTAATAATGCTTTGTTCATGCAGGTTTCTTGATCTATGCCAAATTTCAAGCTTCTGGCTCTACACTGGCACCTGTGGCAGTGGAGGTGGCTGCCAGGACAAGGCAGGATGAGCTGCTGAGGCTGCCAGGCTACACGTGCACTTAGCCAGCACAAGTTCCCAGACATCCATCCAGGGAATCACTCCAGGTTTTAGAGAGAACCCTGTGCAAACCAGGGACAGGATTGGAACACTACCCTCAGCTGTTTTGCAAACAGCATAACAAAGTAGAGGGGAGGAATACAGCCCAGGGACACCTCATCCGAAACCCTAAATTTTCAATTAGTTGGCTACAGCAACTGGGCTCTGCAGACTTGCCCCAGACTGCCTGATTTAGTCCTTGAGGTAGGAGATTTTGGTGCAGCAGGATGCACCAGCATTCATGACAAATAGCAAGAAAAGAGGACAAAGATGCTGAAGTGAATTTCGAGGCAGGAGTTGCTATCCACAGGACATTTGTGAATTTGAACCTATTGCCATGTATTTCGCCCTGCTGAAAAATATTTTAAGTAGCATTAGCTGTATGTCCCTGGTGCTGTTGATGAATGTGGCAGCTTGAAAACCTTTTTTGGCCAGTGACAGGACAAAGGGGGAATGGGACAAGGGTTTTTGGAGCTGCAACAGGATGGTGGTGAGGAACCTGTGTTGTGGCAACAGCAAAGGGGGATCAGCCCTGCACCAAATGCAATGTTGGAGTTGCCAGAGGACAGGGAAACTGTGATTGCAACTGCAAGGACTGTAACAAATCAGTGGCCCTCCAGCTGCACCAGCCCATGGTTTGGTGTGTCAGCATTGGCCTCAGATGTGAGCAAGATGGTGGGAACTGGCACTCATCTGTATCAGTGCAATACTTAGAGACTTCACAGGCTAGATAAAGAGAAAATATGGCTTGGTTCAGCCATCTTTGGAGAAAGAAGAGTAGGAGTTTGTGGCTGCAATCTGGTACTTGTGCCAGGTGACACTAGAAGAGAGGAATGGCTCCAGTCATTTCAGGCATTCCTCAAAAGCTCTTTGCACACCCACAATGAATTTGGCTGGGACAATAATAAACACATATAAATATAAATATAAATATAAATATAAATATATCCATAAACTGGACATCCAGTGAATGAAAATATGGTCATTATGAGGGTAAGAGAAAATGTACTGATGAAACAATATTTTGTAAATAATTAAGATGCCATCACCCAAAAATGCCTGTTTTTATTTTTTTCCATGCTGAGACTGAGCAGCTAAAGTGGCAGTGAAGGCAAATCCCAGAAAAGGTCACCCCTCCAGCTTG